AGGACAGTCTGCTGGTTACAGTCCTTGGTCACCAACCTGTCCAAGTGTACCAAAGGCAGCATGAGTGCAAGGTGGTTTCTGTGGTAAATAAGCATTTCCTGAAACATTTTTGTGCATTTTATCTGAACATCTCTTGAAAATCACCTGGTTTGGCTTGTCAGTCATCACAGCTGCCTGTATACAAACCAGATGAAAGCTGGAAGCTTCCAGGGCTCTTTGAAGTCTGCAACACTTATATGTTTTGTCTCTGTGAAGCTGTTGAGATCTGATTTGAAAACTTTTGCTTTCATACACAAATTGTGTCTCAGATGTGAATTTCAGATTTCCTTTTTCATCTGCAGTATGCTATATATAAACATTACAGATCTGAAGGTACTGAGCCACTAGACAGGTTTCATAACTGTGGTGCACCATTCCTGACTCATGCTCAGCACTCAAAGCAAAATATTAATAGTTATTTTCCAGCTTCTCCAATATACCTGGCTCAGCTAACCTGTATCTTGTTACAAAAAGTAGTAGTTGAACAGCAATTGCTTATAATATTTTGACTGAAGAGGTAGTGTGTAGAAAAGCTGTTAGTCACAAGAATGTTTTAAAGCATGTTCAGGTGTTTCTCTCTGAAGAATTAAATCTTCTTAAGTTTTATTGATTTTATTTTACTTTATTTTCTCTGTTGTTAGCTTTGCTTTGGATAAAATTATTGCTTAGAATAGTTTTGTTCCTTTTGGTAAGTGCTCCTTGAGAACATAACCTGATTATCATCTTCCAGGATACCTATTTAAATCTGTGGCTTTGCAAATCTGCAGTTACACTTCATGCATGCTCAAAAAGCAGTAGCTAAAAGCAAGTGGTGTCCAGGTAACCCATCTTTTCAAATGCTCCCAAGTACTTTCAAACTGACTGTAAAATGGAACTTAAAAAGGAAAATTAAGAGGAAGCATGGTCTATTTTTAAAGCACCTTACCAGATTTAGAAGACCCAGGCTGAGACTCCAGCTCTGCACTAGGCTTTGTACCTTACCTTTGGTAGGTTACTGGAACAGAGAGGTGGAAACCTGCCAAATTATTCTTTCATCAGGAAGGCTGGGTGTGTTAAAACTGGAATTACACTCTACTGATCACAGTAAGAATGCCATTTCTGGTTTGAGTGTGTGTGTGCTCCCACACAGGCTTTATACTCAAAAAATCCTGTGCTTGGGCATTTGCTGAGCAGGTCTCAGCTGAAATTCTCTTCTGTTTGATTACAGCCAAACATTTGAACCTGTTTTGGAGGTACCACCTGAAGGAGGGAGGTCTTAGCTGTTCTGGACAGGGGTCACATTGATTTCCCTTTCCCCTCTCAAAGGACCTTGGTTTCGCTTGGCTGTATCATGGAAAGGATTTTTGAGATAGGAGATCCTTTGAATCAGGAAAAGCATATTTTATGTTCAACTTTGTGAATTGCTTAGCATCTCAGAGTTTCTATACCCAACCTGTCAAGTGAAAGGAGAAGGATTATTTTGTTTTGTTTTCTTAGTCACTGCCTGTGTTTTGAGTGTTTGGGGGTAAATTTTTCTGCATGCACAGTATCTGTTGCAATACCCTACTGACTGGGTTTTGTCCTGTTATTGTATTATGGAGACTCAACATCAAGACAAGTATTCTAAAATTTTGTCCTCTTTCAGAAAAAGGTTTATACTGAGTTATTGTTCAAATGCTGAAACCATATCCATCTCTAGCACATAACAGATATTCATAATTATACAGAAGTCTCTCAGGGTTTGCATTTTAAGCATCATGTTGTATCTTGTGAGCCATGCAAATATTTCCAGACCTTTATAAAGCGTGGCTGAAACCTGGCACTTGTGCAGCAGAACTGCTGACCTGCAGCAGAGCAGGTCCCTCCTGCAGTTACTTGTCCAGTGCAGGGAAGTGAGGTGCAAGGACTTGGCTAAGGGCCCCCAGCAGATGCTGCCAGAACAAAAGGTTAGATCAAGAGTTTTTCAACTTGACTCTGTTACTGTCTTCTTCACAAAGAGAGAAGGTTCATTGTGAGAGACAGACCCGTGCCAAATCCAGCTAAGCTGTTAAGAGGCAGCAGTTGCAATAGGAATCATAGGGGCCACTTTGCCTTGGGATTATCCTCCTGGAGCAGTTTCTTTTGGAAAATGTCCTGTGTACAAATTAGAGATTTAACTCTGAATGTGAATAATTTGCTGCAGGAGTTGTGCTTGATTATGTTCCCTGTCCTGGAGAAGTTCTCTGTCCCATGAAGGCAGGGTGAGGGATGCAGGTGGAGCTGCCAAGCAAAATAAATACTGTGGTATAAATTATCATCATCTTGGGAGTGGGGAGAAATGAAGACTGAAAGGAAGAGAGGCATATAGCAATACAAGTAAGACAGGTGGAGCAGTCAGATGGAAAGGAGATCTAGTGCTCAAAAGACACTTCCTAAACTGATGAATACTATCTATACCTCTATTCTAGCTCTAAAGGTTGGAGTAGGATCAGAGAATAGTTTTCCCGCCTGGGCCTCTCATTCATAAAATAACAGGCAAAACTTGGGTTGCAGTTGGAGATTGTTATCCAAGTTTAGGAGTGATAGTGGGATAGGATCTGAAAATGCTCTTTTTCTTGGCACAAGCACCTGCAGTCTATACACACACTGATTTTTCCATCCCCTTCCAGACTTCTTCACCTTTCTTTTTTTCTGTTCTGCCACCCCTTTTCCTCTCTCTCATCTGGGGAAATGTAGGAGTCTCTCATTCCAGTAACCGTGTAAGCTTCCCTCAAATGCTGATAGCTATATGAATCTCTCCATCAAAAAAGACTATGCCTTACAAGATAGGTGTCTAACCTTGTACAGACTTGAAAGTAAATACAAAGTAATAAGCGTTTCTTACTTTATTAAACAAATATCAAAAGAACCATCTCCAGGTGTTTTTAATTCCTTTTCTGAAAGATCCTGGGAACATCCTTCTCTTCAGTGAAAACAGCTGGGTACATCACATTTTTTAAATCTCTGCTAATTGCTTACAAACATTGCTAAATTGTAGTAATTAGCCTATTAATTTGGCCATTAGTAGATTTTTTTAAAAACAGCTTTCCTCATAGTAAGCTGGTTACAAAACTTGTCCTAGTGACTATGTTAAATATTACAAGTAGCATGAAAGAGCAAGCACACATTTCCAGAGCTGAATGCCCCAATCCAAAATGATACTTGCAGCTTTCCTGTGAAGACCTGTTATTTCACATGGCTATATAGGTCAGAACAGACTTTGAAATCATCTCATGCATACTGAAGACATGCTGCTTTCTGTATTTGATTTTTACTTTTTTCTAACCTTTAAGCTATCAGACCTATGAAACATTATGAGATGCCTAATCTTCACCAGCAGATGATGTAAGTTGATTCTGTGTGAGTCCTCCTTGACAAGACAGCCACTGGACATGTATAATTACAGACCACTGCAAAGGGAGAGACTTGTAAATGGCTGATCTGTAGCTAGGAATGCTTTTGAGGTGTCACCTTGAGACTGACTTGTATGCAGGAAAATAATTTTGAAGATTGAATGACTAGCTATTAGTAAGACAAGATGAAAAATGTTTCTGCCCTGCTGGCTGACCTTTGGCAGATCGAGGCTGGTTTTCCACAGAGAGGTGCTAGCACAAAAGGGAATGGGTTATGCAATTTGTTATTTAAATTTGCATATTTATTCAAGTGCATCTTCCCAGTGACCTCCTGATAGCTGAGTGGTATGAGATGACAGTGCTTTTGCTGATGCTGATGTACACCAGGGCATCAGGCTGGCTTGTTCAAGCAACAGGAAGGGCCAGGCTGGGTTCCTATCCATGTGCAAGCAGTCTGTAGGGCTATAGGAAAAAACCTGACCTTACTCAAAACCAGAGTGTTTATACATATATGCCTTTAATTTCATGGAGTGGGGCAGAGGAGCTAGGAGAGATGAGCAACAACTCAACCAGAGATCTGGTCTTGGTGATGTTGAAGATGTTTTGGTTGCCCAAGCCAAAGCCCATGAAATTTGCTTGGCACTGATGAGAACTGGTTTTGCATAAAGCCATAGTACAGACACCTCTTCTGCCACTCTTGCTGATTATTGATGATGCTCCCATGCACAGAAGCTGGGGGAACAATTTCTTTTTGTAAATAACAGAGCAGCTTTCAGAAGTGGCAGAGCCCCAGAACGGGAATTGGAACTGACACCTCTGCTTGTCTGTGTGATGCTCTCAAATTCAGTTTTCCTCATTTATAGTAATAAAGAGGTTGTGGTATCCACACCAGCTGGATATTTGAGAAATAATTTGCTCTTATCCAAATTTTGAAAAATTCTTGTAGCTCAGCTGGATCAAGTTAAATTTTAATTAAAATAATGTTTACTTGAACCAAAATATTGCAAAGCAATAAACTAGTGGATTAAGTACAATTTTGGGAAAATAATGCAATATAAATATATTAATTATACAGACTGTTTTTTAGAACTAAATTTCTGTTAGTGTTCTGTTTGGATTTTACATGAAAAAAATGTTTTTAAACACTCTGACACTGTAAAAGTCTGGTATGTGACCAAGGTGAGTCTCCAGGAAAATACCCTCAGCTTTAGAAGCAAGTGAAGCAGAAGCAGGCAGGTAAGAGCAAACAGGAAAGTTTTACCACAATGTTTCCTTGAAGCTCACTTCTTTCTCCTCCTTTTTGCTCATAAAAATACATGTTTTTTATAGAGTTGGACTATTATTATCCTGTGCATTAGAATTTTTATATACTTACAATAAAATAATTTAATGACTGAATAGATCTAGATAAGAAATATTTATTTAAGCAGTTTCTTGTTGGAGGTAATGAGTTTTGATTAATGAAATAATGTTTAAGCCTTTTTTTCAAAAGAACATTTTGCCACGGAAACATGGTTTCTGTCTTGTTTTATCACTGATGGCCTTGCCAACCAGTATTTCAAAAGCACAACATGGGAAGATAATACAATGTTTGTCTTTCTCCCTCTCTAGATTATCAGCGTCTGATGACAGTGGCAGAGGGGATCACAACGCTGCTGTTCCCATTTCAGTGGCAGCACGTGTACGTCCCCATCCTTCCTGCCTCTCTCCTGCATTTTCTGGATGCTCCTGTTCCCTACCTGATGGGGCTGCAGTCCAAGGAGGGAACCGACCGCTCCAAGCTGGAGCTGCCTCAGGAGGTCAGTCTCCTCCTCTGGGGTTGCTACTCTGAAATGCTTTATTTCTGTGTGAATTTATTGTCTGTGTGAATCCCTGCTGGAAAATGCCATGCCTGGTGTTAGGAGACTTCTCTGGCACTGTGAAGACTGTTTGCCAGCAGGAGTGAGGTAGCAGGGAAAGACTCCACAGCCTTTCTCAGTCCATTTTTTTATTTAATGAGTGCTGCTAATTGCATTGACTTCTAAATGCTTCTGCTTCTTGCTGTGACGCTGGAAGTTTCTCTGCTTTCCCTAAATGACACATCACCAGGTTTTGTTACTCTTTGTCCGTGTCATAGACCCACTGACAAAGAGCTAAAGAGCACTTAATTTGGAGGTGGTCTTTGTGAACCTGAATCTTGGGTGTGGTTGCAAGGTGGTATAAACCTGTCCCTGTCCCCCTGCTGCTGCTGAGAAGCATGTCCCATCCTGCTAGCCTCATCCCACCCACAGGTCAGCCCATACGTTGCTGTCTGGGTCAAAGTCTACTACTAGACCAGTATCCTGGCCTCAGACAAGCCAGATTTTCATGAATACCTTGTCTGTTACCCACTTAGAGGCATACACACACATGCACGGGCGTTTAAAACACTGACTCACTCCAATTGTGGTATTTTGGACTAAAGATCGTGCCCAATGAAACTGGTCAAGGGGCTAGAGCCCAAGTCTTAAGAGAAGCAGCTGAGGGAACTGGGGCTGTTCAGCCTGGAGAAAAGGAGGCTGAGGGGAGACCTTATCACTCTCTACAAGAACCTGAAAGGAAGGCGTAGTGAGGTGGGTGTTGGTCTCTTCTCTGAAGTAACAAACACTAGAAAAAGAGGAAATAGCCTCAAGTTGTGCCAGGGGAGGTTTATATTGGAGATTAGGAAAAATTTCTTCACAGAAAGAGCTGTCAGACACTAGAACAGGCTGCCCAGGGAGTCACCATCCCTGGAGATATTGAAAAGATGTGGATGTGGTGTGTAGCGACATGGTTTAGTGGTGGACTTGGCAGTGCTAGGTTAGCAGTTGGTCTTGAAGATCTTAAAGGACTTTTCTAACTAAAATGATTCTATGATCTGTTCTCTCATGCAATAGGAACTGAAAACTTTGCCTGGTCTAGCACTTTTTCCCCAAAGAAAAAAAAAGAAGGAAAGATTGTCCTCCTAATCTAGGTAATCAGAGGTAGTAGAGAGTTAAATTAAAGTATTTATCCTTAAAATTTGATTAAGATGATTAAAAATGTTTAGCATTTTAATGGGCCACCCATCACTCTCCATACTGTAAAGTCTTTGAGATATCACTAGCCTGTCTGCATTTTGAGATGGTGACTGGACCCATCTCTTGAGTATGCCATGCATTCTAACTTAGATTTCTTCTTAAAATCAGTGGCAACCCGAATAATAACTGTTTGTGGGACTGAAACATCCCATGACAGTGGAACTGCTGTGCTCAGCTCCACACGAGGGTATCTCCTGGGGGCAGAGTCCCTAAGGCTTGTGAATAGGGGCTCTTACTGAGAAGGCAGGTGGGAGTAGCAGCAGAGGAGAATATGCAGGAGGAGAATATGTATCTGGAACTGGAGGGGTAAACACAGGCAAGTGTAATACGGCTTTTAATGAAGGTCTATTTTAGGTAGTAGGCAGAGGCAACTGATTCTTAGCTTTGGTGGACTGTAACAGTGCTAATCAAGTCTTACCTTGCAGATACTATGGTCCAATCACATGAAATTGGCAGTGGGGTGGAAATAAAGCTGATATCTGGCTGTGCTCTGCAGTAAAACCAAGCTGATATTACATAATTACTGCGATTGTACAAATTATTAGTCATATGCTTCTAGTTAGCAAATTAAGCTGTCATTTTCCTTAAATTAAACTTGTAATGTGATGGTCTTGCAGTATCCCTGGAATAACAAATTAAATATTGCCAGTGAGGGAACAGTAATAGAGGGGTGGAACATCTCCCCCCACCCTGTTAAAATGTTTGACAAATGAGTGAAAAATATGAGCACCACAGCTAAAGTAGCTGTGGGGGAGGGAAAGAAAGAAGGGGTATTGAGCAGGGAAGATCTTGAACATCAAATTCCTCCAGATGATAAAAAAAAATTGTTCAACACATGAGTGATGAAGTGCTGTTCACTTTAGCATTTCTTTATTGCTCAGGCCAGGGGCAGGCTTTTCAAGCCTTTGGTCTAAATATAAAATGTTTGTTAGAGATAAAAATTCTAACAACTGGCTATCCTGCTGGTATAAGGTTACTAATCTGTCTGCATTAACTTCAGTCATCAGATGTTTTTGAAGACAGAAGTGAAAACAATTTCCCAAGGGTCTTCTGAATCCTAATCTTATTTTTCAAATTTTGTAAATGATATGCAGAGCTGAAATGAAAAAGCCTTTGAAATGAAATTTTGACAGATAACAAGACTCTCCCTAAGCTAAATAACCATATGCACGCCACAGCTCTTTAATAGCTGTACAGCTATGTAAAGTAAATTGTTTTTTCTGAAGAAATGCTTTTCCTTGTAAGTTCCAAATTTCTTATGAAAAAGTGAGCTGAAGAGACACTTCTGCTTTACCAAATGAATCCTAATACCCTTTAAAGTATCTATGTGAAAGGTGATTAATCTCAAGCATGTCCCTGAAATATCCATTATATTATAACCATGTTTGCTGTGGATTTTAT